AAAGTTAGTAAACCATTTAATCCCTTGGTTTAGTATATTGGTGCGATATTTCGTAAAGTATGATTTTTTTTTCATTAACAATGCAGACGAGAGATTGGCACGGGTTTATCGGGATCGTAGGACGGTGAGTCTAGGATTTCTTGGCACAACTTCGGCTTTTGGTGAAACGAATTCACAAATAACTTGCAAAAACTATTCGTTCGAAATGAAAAGTCATGTCAATAACAAACTTCTATTTTTTGCATTAAAGTCAACTGTTACTTGTCGTAGACAGTAGCATTAGCAGTAGTATTCATATTCGTTTTTTACGTAAAGTCTTGAGACTGCCAGAGGACCTTGATTAAGAACTGTATTCACCCTGTTTTCTTTAAGATTGTAAAGTACTGACAGTTGAATTTTCCATTTTATTTCACGTATCCTTGCTTCCGAGACGGTTAGATTGCAGTTTTGACCCCGTCTGGGTCTCATTAGCACCCCCAGCGGTACTCGAATCCGGATTATGGTAGGGCAGTCTATAGTCTCTGTAGTAGGATCGTCGATGAAGCAAAGTTGTAATTGCTATTGCAATCGATTACATTACTAACTTTCCTTATCTGAATAGGTAGCGTCAATTCTAGATGAGAATACCTTTTTGGAAGTACGTTTATGTGAAATGTTGTTGAAGCACGTGGTCTACTCACATGATTGTGTGAAATGCAATCTACAAGTCCTTCTTCACCTAAAACAAGATAGACTGCTAATACGTGTTTTTTTACATTGACTATCCAATCTATCCTTTGCGGAGTCTTTTTCATACGAAGATCCATCTCGTATTCCATCGAAAGCTGGAATACTTTCGATCAGGTATGAACTCTTTACAGACTCTAAAGTAAAAGTGAACATCTTTCTTGGTTTATTGCCTCCCATCTACAATATCGATATTGTCAAGAAAAGGTAAAGAGTGTGGCATGGTCGTAGAGTCCATGTTAGCCAGTTATTTACGAAGAGTAAATGGGTTTCGATGAATCTTCTGATATAACATTGCTGAGGAGAACTTCATTTCGTATGAAAGGGCATGGAGAATTGATTCGTGAGTTGATCTCACTATAAGATGACGGTTGAATCGCGTTGTGCTGCATCCTTTTGGCTTTGGTACAACGTTCATGTTGACACAGTCCACGAGACAACCTACCTCACTTCGGGTGAAAACAGGCTGAGCTTTTGTACATCATATGATGGACATTATCAGAGCTGGAATTAATTATTGTAGAAGTGTCATGTGGGACTTTTATAAGAATTATTTCCAGCTCTGATGATGTCCATAGAATGAGGAACGAAAGCTCAG